CCTGGACTCCCTGCTGAAGGCGACATCTCTCCACCTCCCAGCCCCGCCTCGCTTCCTCTGCCTCCGCCACTAGAGGGCTCCTTGCCTACGCAGAACAAACAAATCCAATTACCAAGTTCAGTGTATTTTTTGACGGAGTAACGGTGTTTGAATGGACATGAGGCCCACCTTCTCGGTAGCGCCGCCCCTGTGGGCAAGACGCTGGATCTCCTCATCTTTAATCTTGATGACCCGCATCAGCTCCATCTCATGTTGCCGCAGTAACGTTTCCCTGGTAACGGCCAGTTCCTTCTGCTTCTCCTCATGGAGTTTGGTCTTCAGCGTCGTCATAGCCGCCGACGCCCGGTGATGCTCCGCCTTCAGCTCCTGAGCTTTCTCCCGCTCCAGACGACTCACCTGATCACAAAGTAATCTGATTACTGCACTCATTGTCAGATACAGCAGTAATCTGATTACTACAGGCACCATCAGTTACAGCAGTAATCTGATTACAGCAGTAACAGTAATCCCACTGTATTCTTCAATCATCTAAATACTGCAGTATTTAATCTCCTGGTGCAATATACTCTGAGATAACTGCAGTATTCTGACTTGTCGGTACCTTGTTCTTCTCCTGCTGCAGTTCTATCTGGATTTCGGTCAGTTTGGCTCTCAGCTCCTCATTGGCTGCTTGAAGGGTCGCCATGGCGTCTGGTCGCTCCCCTTTTCCTCGCCCCCCTGTTCCTCCCCCACCTCGCTTAGACATCACCACCTCCACCTGCAGGCTAGACCCCGCCCACTGGACTGTCAATCAAGGGTTTGTGGACATCTGTAGGAGTGGAAATGAATTATTCAGAGACATGAAAGAAGACAACCTGAAGACTGGACTGGTTGGTTAGCCTGCACCAGTGGTTCTCATAATGTGGTACGTGTAACGCTGGTGGTACACGGGCAGTGAAGTGCCAGTCCTGGTCCCAACATGAGGGAAACTCAAATACTACAGAAGTACAGCCTCAGTACTACAGTACTCCAGAGTGGATATGAAAGGATTATATTAAGGCTACAACAAAACTAAACAAACACACACACACACACACACACACACACACACAGTAACAGACAGTTAATTCAGTTTCAGTTGATTGGCCTCAAACTCTATATTTAACAATTCATCCCCAAAAACTTATTCAACACTTGCAACATTCACGACGGCTGTAAAATGTGTGTGCACAACATGAATACTGGATATTGTTTCCATGACAACATCATCAACCCAACTGTTATCTTAACTGATGAACATTTAAGACACACAGAAATAAATCACTCACCGTCCAATAGGAAGCCTCCGACACTGCATTGCTCTCTCTCTCTCTCTGTGTGTGTGTGTGTGTGTGTAATAATGTGTGTCAGTGGGTAAGCCTTGGCTCCACAGAATGCTAACAGCAGTTAGCTTCACTGCAGCTGGTCTCTGTGCATGTTGTGTGTGTATGTGTGTTGCCAGATCCAGCCCCCCCCCCTCACACACACACACTCTCCCTCTTGGTATTAGCAGTTAGCAGTTAGCTGTTAGCCTCTGTTAGTGGCTGTCGGTGCTGTTAGCATCTCTGCAGCCTCTCCTTCCTCCCCCTCTCCTCCTCTTCCTTCTCCTCCCAGCATCCCTCAGTCAGCGTGATGGATGGAGGACTCTTTGGGTCCCTCTGGTGGCGAGTCTTTATCATGCCGTACCAGCGCACCACAGTCACGTGACTCTGATGATCAGGCGGTAGATTCATCATCTCCTCGAGTCAAAAAATCAAGGAGCTGATCTTCAAAAACAGAAAGACAGAAGTTCATCAGCCGCATCATCTGACCACCAGGGTCCGCCATTCCCGAGAGTTGATGGATTATTAGAGAATGAAGTGGGTAAAAAAGAAGAGGAAAAGAGAAGCCAAGTTTACATGCCGTCTTCTCTCCACCAGGGCCCGCCATTGTGCCAACAATAGAGTTGGTTCTCTCCATTCTCTGAGACATGCAGTATTTATTCAATTCTCTGAGGTTTAATTATTGTCCTTGTTACGACCAGACGGAATGAACGGGACGTTGGTGTCAGATGAGGAGGAGAGGGAGAAGAGCAAAATAGAACAAAAAGAGGGGCAGAAAAGAGGAGGGGTTACAGGTTACCATAGCAACAGAAAAAGAACCGACTGAAATGATCTGAAGAGCCAGTGTTCCCCACACAGGTGAAGTCATGTGACAGGAAGTGCATGTTTCGTGAGAGACGCCCAGAGTGACACCCATGAGAGCTTAAGAATGTTTATTTTAAAGCAGAAACACCCAATGAACTGTCAGGAGAAAATCCTAATCATCCAATCAGACGCCTCAACTGTGAAAAGGTCAGAAGGAAGACCAGGGTCATCATCTTCACAGGAAGGAGCCAGCACAGACAGGAAGTAAACAAACAACAAACCGGAAACAACCAGAGGGATGAGAGAAAGAGTTCTGATTGGTTCAATACTGGGTCAGTGCATTTTAAATGAGTTTGGAAGATCCAGATCTAAAAACAAGTTCTGGTTCTGACCCATCACAGGGTGAGATGAGATCAACGTCTGTGTTCCTGATCCTGAGACCAGGATCTAAGATCTAAGTCAGGTTCATGTTCATTAGACTGGGATTCATGAGCACAGAGTTAGAATGATGTTCAAGTCCAGGCTCTGGACCCCCAGTGGAGGACTCATGATCAGAGCAGCAGGACTGGAGGATGTCAGTGTCTGGTTCTGGTTCTGGTTCTGGTCTCCAAAAACCTGAGGAAGTCTTATCTGATGGATGTTTCTCATCTCATCTTCCTGAGTCTGGATCGATTCTCTTTGTCACTTTTCTTTAAGGATGTGATGTAATGGACGAACAGCACTTCCTGTTCCTTCTTCCTGTTGAGAGAACTGAAGCGCTGGTCGCCACGGTAACGAGTACAGAATTCCTTAAAGGTGGACCTGCGGTCAAAACAGTGAAGAAGAGACGTGTCCATCAGTACAACAGAACTGCAGATCGATGGATGACTGACCGACCGACCGACTGACTGACTGACTGGTTGATTGATTAATTGATTGCCGACCTGCTGGTGATCTTTGCCTCCTCCAGCAGTTGTCTGAATTCCTCTCGAGCTTTTAGTTCTTTGTTCTTCTTCTCTCTGAACTCGTCCTTCATCCTGCTCTTCACAAACTGAGCAAACACCTGCACACACACACACACACACACACACACACACATCATCATGACAGCAGTGGTGTGTGTGGTTTGACCAGAGGTCAGATGTAAAGTGAACCTTTTTCCTCTGGTCTGAGGTCAGCAGCAGGTACCGTGGATCAAACACCATCTTATGAAGTTCTTTGTCCCAGCTGGAGAACGCAGACACCTGAGAACACCATCAAGAACCCGATCAATATGGAGCCCAATCACATCTGACCCTGACCCCTCTGACCCTGACCCCTCTGACCCAGACCCCTCTGACCCAGACTCTTCTGACCCAGACCCTTCTGACCCAGACACCTCTGACCCAGACCCTTCTGACCCTGACCCTTCTGACCCACCCCTCTCTCCAGCATCATCTCTGTGAAGTGAGTCTTCCTCAGGTCCAGTGGAAGGTTCTGGATCTCCTCTGGTTCTGGTAACAGAGAGCCTGGCTTCTCCAACCTACAGAGGGAGAACTTCTAACCAATCACATGACTCTGTGGTGCTGACATCAGCTGGTCACATGACTCTATGCCCCCAGACTCACCTGTTCCTCTTTGAGTTCAGTTGGTCCTCATCCTCGTTACCATGGACACCAGGCATCTTCTTCCTCTTGTGGGGCGGATCCTGGATGATGCCGCTGATGTCTCTTCCTGTCAGGTCACCTGGTCTCTCCCACACAGACAGGTGCATTGTGGGATTGAAGAAGAAGGTGCGATCATCTGCGGTCCACACCACACACCTGAACAAACACCAACAGATGTCTACCAAATCCTGTCATGACCACAGGTGGGGGGGTGGGGGGGGTCACTCAGTTACCATGGTGACCCTGGAACAGCAGCGGAGGCGACTGGACCTTTGTCACTTGGTTTCTTCTCTCCTTCTTCACCTGGTCTGTCAGCGCTGACACCCTGAGACACAACCAGATGTCACATGACTGTTAACTCTGCCCCCCCCACCACTGACATCACAGAGACAGACTGGACATGACTTGAGGACTCACCTGAAGAGACACCAGGCCCTCGTCCTCTGTCCTCTTCTTTGACTCTCCCGGTGTCCTTCGCCTCTCTGACAAAAAGAACAATAACCCCATCATATGGACAGAAGAGACAGACGTGACAAGAGACACAGAGACAGACAGCTGTCTTACTGTCTCTGTGGACAGTCCATCTGGTAGAAGACCGAGAGGAGACACCAGAGGGACAAAGCTCTGTCAGCAGCTGAAAGACAAAAGGTCCTGAGTCCAAGTGGAGACAGATGAATGGACAGAGACAGACAGGAGGACAGACTCCATAATAACATTATATAATATGATGTGAATAAGTAATGACTTTACCTGCACAGGTGGCGCTCTTCTTGTGGGGAGTTTGAAGACAGGTTGAAGCTCCGCCCCTTTATACAGGTGGTTGTTGTGGACAGACCACGCCCCTTGACCTCTGTGTGTACGAAACCCCACCCACTCACCAAAAGCCCCGCCTACAAAATGATATCACTGTGCGATAAATTTCAGACCTGTTGCTCTGACCTCAGATTAGCACCCCCTAGTGACAGAACTCTCACATTACAGCTAAAAACACTGCTCTTCAGTGCAGGTACTATAGGAGATTCATGGACCAGGTTCACAAACAGGCAGGAACAAGTACCAGAAACTAACAGTACTAGGAACTACAGGAGCTTTTTCACCACAGAAGTGTCTGAGAAAAGGGACAGGAACTAAAACTGTTTCCACAGCATTTCTGCTGCTAAGAATAGTACCAGGAAGGACAAAGTACTAGTACAAGAAGTAGTACTGGGAACTCGGGACAGTATACACAACTAGGAAGCATGAACAACAAACATTCACACGGCAGGGATTAACGGTTCTAGAAGGAGGAAGTGATCAAAAAAATACATCAGATATAAAACACACACACACACACACACGCACGCACGCACGCACGCACGCACACACACACACACACACAGTAGTGCCGTAAGTGGAACATCTTTCATCTTCTGAGTCAAAACATTTTCACTCATTTTAACTGAGAAAAGAAAAAGATCAGACGTCTGTGTGTAAGAAGAGATTACTCAGTGTGTGTGTGTGTGTGTGTGTGCCGTCTTTGAAGTCCTGATCTCATTTTCTCCCCTCATGTTTTTACCCCCCCCCTCTCCTGCTGCGGAGCTTCACACTCTGACAGACTCCTAAGGAACCAGTACCAGGAACTGTCTTTAACAAAGACAGACAGAGTACCAGTAACTTGGTGACATTTATGCATTTTAGTCACCAAACAAACTTGGAACAATAAAACCATGACAACACGCAGAAAACCCAGTGTTTTTACAGTGACTACCACCAGGTTGTTAAAGGGAGGAAACAGAAAAACAGATTAAAAGGTTCATTTTTATCATTGTACAAAAAGACAAGACCTATAACTGTGATCCTTCACTAAGAGGACGAACTCTCTGACACCAGATCAAGGACCACTACATCTAGTCATTAACAACTTCATGAAAAATTAAAGCAGTAAAATGGGACCCTTTTGATGAATTTTTGATACCGTCCTCGTCAAAAACATGAAACAAAATTTGGACCAATCTGAATCATCTTCACCAAAAATGCTAAAAGTATCATGTCATGACTTTTGTCCTCAGGTCCAGACTCACCCACTGGAGCAGCAGGAGTCAGAGATGATGGGTGAGACGAGAGGAGGAGGTGGAGCAGAGGAGAGGGGGCGGAGTCTTCAGCCTGCTTGGTGTTTCTTCTGACACGGCCTGAGGAAGGAGGAGTCACATGAGTGAGTGAGTGAGTGAGTGAGTGAGTGAGTGAGTGAGTGAGTGAGTGAGTGAGTGTGGTAGAGATAGTCAGATGTAAATTTATTCTGTTCAGATTTAACAGAAAACATCAAAGATCCATTTTCTGCCTCAGATGATTTTAGTGACTGCAACAGAATTTAATCTGAATCTCAGTGAAATGTTGGAAGTAAATGTGACAAGTGAAAACACACACACACACACACACACACACACAGAGAGAAATGACAAACGACAAGAACCAGGAGATAAGGAGAAAACAAACAGAACAGGAACACGACAGAGCAGATCACAGAGCATAAACACCATGACCATGGCTACAACGTCAAACAGGAACACAAACAACAACAACAACAACAACAACAACCCAAACCACTGCAGAGGAGAACATGAACCCAGGAACCTGCTGCTACAAGAACCTGGGTATGACCTGAACTCATCCACACCATGGCTGATGATCAGAGTCACTGTAGAGGCCGTTAACCAGGCTGTGATGTGATTGGAGGAACTGGGGTTGGTTCTGTTCTCACCTGTGAGGTGAAGGGGAGAGAGGAGGAGTCTGGCTCTGGAGGCGTGGCCAAGTGGTGCTTGTGTGAGCTGATTGGTCAGC